CTTCTACCTTACCTTCAGTACAGATAAGCTTATTTAAAATCCCGCCAGCCCAGACAGTTTTAGATACTTTCTGCTATTCAGAATTTCTAGTATTGTTTCTTATATTCAGTTATGTTCAGTTTTCTTTACATACTCGGTACCAGTGGTACTAACGCCCGTTTGGGGCGCTGCATTACTTGCCTGCAGGTACCTATAGATGAGGAGCCGATCCCTCGTGATCCTAGCCAGCGTAGAGTCATCAGTTCCTGTCATCCGGAACTTGATATTCAGAGGTTTATACTGTTTTTCTTTTGTTGTATAGTACGGGTAGGTCAGGGCCCTGTCCCAACCATCTTATCAGTATTATTAGAGGCTTGCGGATTGTATATATTTCCCTGTGGTTAGTTGTGCCGGTCGTGTGAGGCCGTGCGTATGTTTAGGTGTTTGTGTTGGTCGTGTGGGGCCTTATCCAGTTAGTAGTTGGTGACCTTGCCGGTCATAGAGCAGTTTAGCTTCTGATTCAGTTCTCAGTGAAAACTAATCAGCATGGCGGCCTTGTCGGCCTGCATAGGTTCCCTTATATTGATATGATTCTGGTTAGCTGTTGTTGTTGTACAGGTGGCTATAGGCCTAGTCAGCCAGAGGCTGTATTTATAGTCGTTATATAGCCCGTCGTTTTCTTGAATCCAGAGTTAGAGCCAGCCACACACCAGAATTGCTTAGGCTCTGTAGTCTAGCAGTTCAGGTCTTAGTAGGCACCAGGTGCCAGTCATACCCCCAAGGCGTGGCGTGACATAGCCATTACTTCGGTGCTTTTAAATCCTTTCAAAATGGTAGCAACATACCCTTTTTGCGAAATCTATGAAAGAATCATACAAGATGATGGATTCCCATGTGAAACACTTTGGATAGAAAAAGTTCAATCAATTCCAAGAAATTTTTGAATTTGAAACTTGCTCGAATTGGATTCTTTTAATTTTCATACCAAAGATATATTTATGAAGTTCTTTCAATTTTTTATTGATTGGCATTAACCCTAGACCCTTGCCCCGAGAAATAAATTAATACTTTCTACCCGAGCTCCATCATGGACTATTTACATTCCAAGACAAAGAAAAATGAGGGGTTCTAGTGAAACAGAACCAATGATGTCGAGCCAAGAGCACCTTCATTCCACATAAAATGGTAGATATACAAATCCACAATGGATCGGGCCGTTCAAGTCGCATGTTGCTTTCTACCACATCATTTTTAAATGAAATTTTACCATAACATTCCTCTAATAACTGGTATGGAATTGATTCAATTATGAAATCATGAATAGTTATTGGTTTGGCTGATGTATAAACACCCTAATCTTTAGTATTTTCTTTATCTTCTATATAGAAAATACTATAGATATATGTGGATAAAGATTTTTCTAAAGAAATCGTAGTAAGACCCCATCGCTAATATTAATTTGTCTAACAT